AGGTGCGACCTAAACCACAGTGCCCCCCACCCCCACTTTAGTCCCTGCTCCTCACCGGTCAGCAGGCCTCAGAGCCGGGATGGCGCCGCTCCGCCCGCTCACGGGCTTCTCAGCTGCCCGGGCCAAGCGATCCCAGGCCCCAATCCCGCAACGCCCAGACGGACCCAGGCTGATGCACTTCCGGCTTCCTCCAACCCCACCCCACCACCGCCTCCTCCGGCTCACCGCTCTGCCCTCTGCACTCGTCACTGTGTGCGCGCGCGCACCAGCTGTTCTCGCGCGGGGCATCAGGGGACTGGTAGTTTGGAACAGTCCCGCGAGGCTTCCCGTTGTGGAGGGTGTCAGAGAGTGACTACAAGTCCCAGAAGGCCGCGCGGCCTCAGCAGCGGGCGCTTCAGTTCCCAGGGCGACCCCTCTGGCTGAAGCTGGACATCTGGCGACCGCGGGGTCCTAAGGTGGCCACCGCTTTCCGCACGTTGCTTTCAGCGTCCTCCTTCTCACCTTAAGGCCGCCGCCATGAAGGATTCGCTGGTGCTGCAGAGCCGTGTCTCGGCGCACCCGGACTCCCGCTGCTGGTTCCTGGCCTGGAACCCCACGGGGACCCTGCTGGCCTCGTGCGGCGGCGACCGTAAAATCCGCATCTGGGGCACCGAGGGTAAGGCCTGGCTTGGCTTTGTGACCCTGGTGCCGAGGAAGACGCTACTCTGGAAAAGGGGTTTGTCGGGGGAAGGAGTGTGCAAGCGTCAACAGACAGTCTGGGATTGTTGCGGGAACTGGGATATTTGCTGAGGAAAAAAAATGAAAAAAAAGTAGTCTGAAAAACAATTTGACGGTTTTAGGACCTCTTGCAGAGGAAGTCGTCGCTTGCATCGTTGTAATGGTGATTGAGTTTGTCCCACAGGGTTCCGCTTTCAGAATGGCATTGATGGTGCTCTAGATCCTAGCCTATTCTCTGCCTGTAGGTGACAACTGGATTTGCAAGTCTGTCCTTTCTGAAGGCCATCAGCGCACTGTTCGGAAAGTGGCCTGGTCCCCCTGTGGAAATTACCTGGCCTCTGCCAGCTTTGATGCTACCACTTGCATTTGGAAGAAGAACCAGGATGACTTTGAGGTATTCAGGCTGGATGGGAGCAGATTGTTACCTGTTTGCACCCCAGGACTGGGTTCACCCGAACCTTTACTTAATGTTTATGCCATAGAAATGGTAGCTGGGTATGCTAGTTCATGACACTAATCCCAGCATTTGGGACACTGAAACAAGAGGATTCCTACAAGTCCAAGGTCATCCTGGGCTGTAGAATGAGACCCTGTCTCAAACAACAAAATTGTGATCTTAGATGTTTTACTAGGGCCTAGGCCCCTTAACTGTTATTAATTCACAAACCTTTTCTATTTCCAGTGTGTAACCACTCTTGAGGGTCATGAAAATGAGGTCAAGTCAGTGGCTTGGGCACCATCTGGCAACCTCCTGGCTACCTGCAGCAGAGATAAGAGTGTGTGGGTCTGGGAAGGTGAGTCCAGGTGCCTTTAGGTACAATGGAAAACCAGCTCACTGACTTTCAGCTTTGTTCCTGACAGGCTCAGCTCTTTGGTTCTTTTTTTCTCCCACAGTTGATGAAGAAGATGAGTATGAATGTGTCAGTGTCCTCAACTCTCATACACAGGACGTTAAGCATGTGGTTTGGCACCCAACCCAGGAGGTAAGAGTCAGATGAGGCAGGGAAGAACCCTGATGTGGAGGCTTGTGCCCAGCCTTCGCATACTCTTCCAAATCACCCTCAACTTTTATAGGGATCTCTGGGACTGCCCTGTCCTGACAGGGTTTGATACTGGAACCACCGGTACCTCCTGGGCCATGCAGACAAGTGCTGGGTCTCCTTTCTTACTCTTTCAGCTTTTAGCTTCTGCCAGCTACGATGATACAGTGAAGCTGTACCAGGAAGAAGGGGATGACTGGGTCTGCTGTGCCACCCTTGAAGGTCATGAGTCCACTGTATGGAGCTTGGCCTTTGACCCCAGTGGCCAGCGTCTGGCATCTTGCAGTGATGACCGTACTGTGCGCATCTGGCGCCAGTACCTACCAGGCAATGAACAAGGTGAGGGTCCAGGAGTCAAAGAGACTCTGCCAAGATATATGGTCTACCAAGATACAGTCTGTCAAGAATCTCAGTGTAACAAGGAAGGTCTCCAGAGAATCACTGAAAGGACCAGGGGTAGCTTTGTAGAACAAGGCCTCCAACCAAATTTGAAAAGGATATGTAGAATTTTTTTTTTTTTTTTCCAGACAGGGTTTCTTTGTCCCTTTGGAGCCTGTCCTGGAACTTGCTCTGTAGATCAGGCTAGCCTGGAACTCACAGAGATCCACCTGTCTCTGGTTCCCAAGCGCTGGGATTAAAGGTGTGTGCCACCCGCCGCCACCACCCAGCTAGGTTTGTAGAATTTTTAGCAGGAGAATGTAATGCAAGAATTCCAAGTTGAAAACCTAGCAATAGCCACCCCCTCCCCCTAAAAAAAGCTGCTGAGAAATGCTGGCATATACCCTTAATCCCAGTACTCAGGAGGCAGAAGCTGGGGGATCTCTGAGTACAAGGGCATCCTGGTCTACATAGTAAACTCCAGGACAGCCAGAGCTACACAATAAGACCCTGACTCAAAAAAAAAAAAAAAAACAGAAAGAAAAGAAAACACAGCAGCATGATTTGGCTGATGGTGGGAATGTCTAAACAGAATATGAAGAACAGGATCCCTTGAAGCAAGGCAGAGAATTAGAAGAGAGGAGTAAAATAGGTTGGGTTGGCTAGTGAGTGGCCTTAAAGGGCAGATTAACTCATTAGATACAGCCTGTAGTGGAGCAGGGATGCTTCCTTCTCAAAATTAATTCTTGGGTGGCAACCCAAGTGTGTAAGGCAG